GGAATGAAATAATATCAGTAATAGAGATTCCACAAACCAACTTTTTTGATAAAGTAGGCGGAATAGTTAGAACGATTGATAACAATAAAAATAGCAAAAAATAATGACTTCAATAAGTCCAAACCTAAACAGAGCAATATCGATACCCTTTCCTTATATCTGATTTATTAAATACTATTATAACCGTGGGCAATTTGCAGGAAAAATAATCAAATATAACCATGTGAAATTTCATTTGGGAAAACAAATTTTAAAAAATGACAGGATTATTCCTCTAAAAATCTAATTATCATCACTAATAACAAAAGTATGCTTTGCTTGAATTCTAATAGATTTGATATAAAATAAAATGAAATACAACTATAAAAAAAAGAAGAATTATTAAGAGGCCCACCTAATCGTTCCTACCTGCAAAAGACGCTATAACCTAGTAATGAAAAAGGGAACCCGATTCGTAGCTATATGATGTTTGCAACGATAACTTAGGTGCCAACTAGAATATATAGAAAACATACATATGCATATAAAANTCCATTGCGGCATTGCCAAGTTATTCCAGAAAAACCTATTTTCCAGACAATATTTTTTTAATTCACCACCCGCATGTCTACAACAATTAAGTGGCTTCTTTTTAGGAATTAGTAAACATCACTATGACAATTTCGGCTAATTGGTAAAACCGGTCAAGTTTCATTTTTTTCAAAACAGGCATAATTCAACTTTTTAAAATGGAACACCATGTATTTTTTCATTTGTATGAAATGATTCAACATTTCACTACATTTTATACCAGAGGTATACTATAAGAAAACAGATATTTTACAAATTATACCCAGTTTTATTAATTGTAACCACAAAAAATTTATAACGCCTAAAATGGAACACCCTGTATTTTTTCATTTGTATGAAATGATTCAACATTTCACTACATTTTATACCAGAGGTATACTATAGGAAAACAGATATTTTACAAATTATACCCAGTTTTATTAATTGTAACCACAAAAAATTTATAACGCCTAAATTTTTTATTGAATAGAGGAGTCCTAAAGATGTCCAAAATGGCGACCATTTTCTGCAACACATAATGTCAGTCTAATGCTAATCTACTAGCGATTAGTTTGAATATTCGAAAAACAAATTTGAGTAAGTAAACGTAAGAAAATACTTTCTTATGTGGTTACAACAATTACTAAAACTTGGTATAATTTGTAAAACATAAGTTTTTCGTATAGTATACCTCTTATGAAAAATGTAGTGAAATGTTGAAACATTTCATACAAATTTTACCGAGCACAGAATTTACCGAGGACCCTATATATTGTTTCCGAAAGTTGAGATTTCTGAAATTATCATAGTGATGTTGACTAACTATTCCTAAAAAAAATTGCTGTAGACATGCGGGTGGTGAATTGAAAAATTATTGTCTGCAAAATAGGTTTTTCTGAAATAACTTGGCAATGCCTCAATGAAAATTCGAAAACAAAAATTGCACAGAGAGCTAAAAAATATGGAATCTAATGAAGAATTCATATACTGGATGAATCACTTCGCGAAACAGTGACTTGAAATACCTCGTATTTCAATCCACTCAAGAACCTCCCCAGGACTTTGAAAGGTGTCCAACCGACCCACTCAGGAGTTCGCATACGAGTAGCTGAAAAATTTTCAAAACTTCTTATATTAGCCGCAATTTCATTAAAACATCGAAGTAGTTATTTTTAACGATTTTTTCTTTCAAGATCTAAGCATACCTAGGGCCAGACAGCGGAAAGCGACTTTATTTTATACTATGGAGTGAAGTTGCTTAATTTCTCATCATTTGGCCTGAATGTGGGGCCATTTGTATTATAAAAATTGATCATACCTGTTGTCAGGTCAAAATGAATGTAGGAAAGACACATTGTGGCAAGTTTATTAGAGAATTTGATTCCAACTCATTGAAGTTTTTGGGTTTTTTATATAATTCAAAAAATGACAGTTACGTTGGTGAAATAAAAATCTCTAGCATTGTCCGAGCCTGTCTTGCTGTACGATATGCGGATATGGCATGTCATACCATCAGAAAGAAAGAAATATTAACAGGTAAAAAATAATGAAGGAAACTATAATAACATAATAATGAACATTTCAGACGATATCAAATCTGAATTGTTGAGGCGGAAAACTCATATTTTATTTAACTGAATACATTAAACCCAGAACCTTCGCAGTTGAGATTTATTCAGATGCTTCAACAACAGGTTGGGAAGCCTAATGTGAAGGTAAACAAATTTCATGGTTTCTGGTATGAACAAGATAGTAATAGACAAATTAACTATTTAAAAATGAAAGCTGCTCTATACGGTTTACAGTCGTATGTTAAAAACCGAACCGATATTCGAATCATTTTGAGAATCGAAAACGTCACAGAAATATCTTGTGTAAAATTTGCACTATTATTAAATTGCACGACGTTTATGTATTTGCTGTGGAACCAGGAAAATACATATCGGTGTTCACATTGTATATAATATAACATAAATAAAAAAATAATCGGGCAGAGAGTCATGTTCATTATCTATCGAGACTGAATATGAACTCAGCCGGTAAACATTTCAAGTAATCAAAAAATATTTTAGAAAACTGAATATTGATTTATTCACTACAAAATTGAAACAGAAATGTGAAAGATACATATCGTGGTTTCCAGATCTGGATTCAGTTGCTATCGGTGCATGGAATGGAAACATCAGATTTTTATATTTTTCCACCCTTTTTTGTCATCACAAACATATTGTAGAAAAACGGGCTATAGAGGTAGTCCCCCTTTTGTTTTCACAGCCTTGGAACCCATTGTACATCAATGTGTTGATTGAACCTAATGATTAACCATTGCTACCTCCTGTCAGAGAGAAACATCCGCTTCACAAAGACATTTTCCTAACGGTCGATTCCTCAAGGAACTCTCAAACAGTACACTGATGTTTGTTTCAAGAGATATTGTTAATTTTGTGAAAGGAGACATGTTGAACATTTTATATTCGTTGGAGTAGTGAATTATGATAGATCAACCATAAATCTGATATTTTCACCTGAAAGTGAAGACGAAAGTGTAATTAAGAGGTTTTCGAAAGATCCCTACAATATTTGGTCTCTTCAGCGTAAATTTTCGATAACCTGGAACCCTGAACCGACTTTTAAATACTTGTCACGCTTATACCTTCTGGAGAGTAACTGGCAATGATTACTGCTGGTTACTGCTCACAGAGTTCAAACGTTATCTAAACTCACTTTATCAAATAAGACTATTAGTCTAAATAAAATAGAATTTAAGGTATCTGAACGTTTATAAACATCTGGACTGACAAGGCCACAGCCACAATCGATATTTCCGTATTTTAGGAAAACACCAGAATTGTGTGTGGTCTTCTCGATAAATCATTATATTGAAGAAATTTGGCCTTATCGTACAGAAGATACACTCCATTCCGTCAGTTCTCAAACAATCAGTAGTTGGATTGTTCAAGTTTTACAGCTTAGTGGAATAAATACTGATATTTTCTCCGGTCACAGTGTCCGGCATGCCGGACGTCAGCTTCAAAGTATTATATTTTTGTTTCTGGTGAATGAAAATGTTGCAAAATCGTTGTACTTCAAACATCTACAAGGATCAATCGACTTACCTGAAGAAAAATTATTCCAAATTTTCGGAGCTTGTCTTCCGAAAATAATCACAACCAATTTCACCCTTACCTATACAGGTTCCCAGCAGATTAACAATATTGTAGTAAAAGCTAAAGAAAAAAATTTTTAAATTAACCAGAGAGTGTTGGTCATGCGATAAAAGGGACTTAATCAGGAGTTTTTAATGTTTCGCATGATAATTATGTACTGAGAGAGGAGCAAAAATGCCTAACTAAATTGTAATTAGTTTCGAAAGACAAGCTAGGAAAATTTGGATTAATGTTGTACAGGTAAGTCAATTAATTCTTCAATTATAGATGTAAATGCATGCCACCTGCTCATCAATTAATCAGTAAACACGTAGTCATCGCTCACATAATATATTCGAGCACGGTAGTATCTCGAGTTTCGGGTTAAAAATATTTCGGTGAATGACGTAGTACCTTAATGATTTACCTCTAGTATAAAATAGAGAAAATAATTTATTTATTCTCTATATCCTACATCAACTATGAATTTCCACAAAATAAACAGGTCATCAATCAAAAACATTTTATTTATCATTCAAATAATAATTCGATTTTTCAGATCACTCGAATTACACATTCGATTCTTGGATTGATTCAATTATGCATATCAGTAGTTATAAACTATTTTTCGAAAGTTTTCGTTCAGGATAAATATACAGAAATTACTTTTTGAAATTTGTCTCAGAACTATCATTAGGATGAGCACAGTATCAAATCTATTTTTGTCCCAATGAATAAATCAAGGAAACCCTTCAAAACTCACTTTTCGACTGCACATCTAAGTGTTCTTGAAAGTATTCACGCAAATCAGATGGTTCCGACGTTATTATTAAATAAGTTATTTCTATCTGAAATCGCAGAAGAAAAAATCCAAAAAACAATAATAAATGAGTTGGTCGAATGAAAGTTTTTAAATCCTATTGGTTCATTCCAAGCGTTGGCGCGTTTTTATAAGTTAGGGCAACACATTCGAAATTATCTGTTGAATTTACGTAAACAAATATCATTGTCATTGGACGAAAAATTTTGCCTTACCTCAGGTATCCACTTGTCAAAATTTGGTTGTATTTCATGAACCTCTCCCCCCAATCAATAAACTAACCCTAGGTGAAATCAATGCCGAGCGAGTGCACATTTTATGTTCCATTAGAAACCAGAAGTCTGTCTGTTAACAGATTTCAATAGACAGACTTCTGCCAATCTGTTACTTTAAAATAAAAAAAATGGTTATTATATTCCAGTAACTAGTAGATTATTTCTTAATATTTCAGTTAGAATATAAATAGTGTTGTTAAGTGACATGTACCAATATTGAAATTTGACAGAACTCGTGTAGTGTCAGTACGACACGAGTGCACCGCCGGTTTTATCAATGGAAAACGCTATAAAATTATGAGATGCGTGTCAATATCGTGTCAGTCAGTATTCAGTATTTGATTTTGAAGTTTTTAGTTTGGAGCAATTCAAAAAATGAAACTTCCAGTGTTAAAGTTAATACTTTTAATGAATGTTTATAATGTTGCGACTGGACAGCAGAAGAAACAGGTCTCTATTTTGAACGAATTTCATACAAACATTTGAAAGTCCACCGGTTTCATTTTAATTTTTCATATTTTCATTAAAGGGTGAAGAAAAATGCTGTGCATAATAATGATGACATGCCACCTCAACGATTTTACCATTGAAATCTAAGTTTACAATCCTATAAACTGAAAATAAAATTAATAAAACAATGGGATAGGTTACCTCTAGGTAAATCTTCCGAAAAGTTAGAACATATCTGCATTTATATGGCTTAAGATTTGATATTAATTTCAACCATTATTCAAAAACATACACATTTAATTTTTGGGAAAGAAAGTTTTTGGCTTTCTACTACTCCATCTGATACAAAAAAATGGATTAATTAATTAATTAATCACTCCTAAAAATATAACCCTTTCAATTCATATACATTTAAGATCTGAAAGTTGAAAAAATGTATATAAAAAAAGTAAGAGGAATGATGTTTCATGAAAGTGGAGGTACAGATAAAAGGAATTCAATGATAAATGCTTCAAATAGGTCCTGATTAACATAATTGCAATTTAAGTTTTTGATGCATGTAACTGGACCGAAAATTGGACTTACTTTCTATAACGTAAAAAAGCCTATTTCCTACCTATTGCCTAATTTTAACAACTTCATATTCTTGAAAATCTCGTTTTGTACATAAGCACTTATAAGTCTGCTTGTTGTAACAAGAAGCCATATCTACCCTCTCTCTGTTAATTAAATAGAACTGGCCGACATTTGATGAAAATCCATATTAAAAAACTAATTAATTGTATGATTTTCACTATAAAGGGTTTTACAAAAACAAGACACGTGTTTCGCTATACAATAGCTTCCTCAAGCATAAACTTGGTGACACAAGAGTGTCACCAAGCCAAAGCCTCGGTAGATAATAACATTATCCTGAGGTGGGTTGAAGGGCACGACAGGAGTAAAGGTAATCGCATTGTCGACTCTTTAGCTAAGGAAGTGGCTGGATTGAGAATTTTAGGACCCAGTGGCACCTATGGCCTGATGACTTCGACAATTGCGGAACTAGCCAAATGTTACACTCATGCTCAATCCCTAAAGAGATGGGATGGAATCAAAGGATGCAATCTTGCCAGGATCACTTTGGGCGACCCTAAGAAGCTGGCGCCGAAGAAATATCTGGTGATAACCAGGAAAAATCTAAGCTTGACAGTAAGATTTCTGACTGGCCACTGTCAACCAAGGAAACACCTCCGTAATATGGAGCTAGTGGACACACGTCTATGCAGGATGTGTGAACAGGAAGATGAGACCGTCAGGCATGTCCTATGCGAGTGCCCGGAGTTATCATCAGTAAGAGAGTGTATGTTCGGCGAGTCTTGACCTACACCTGCCAATATAAAAGAGATGTCTCTCAGTAACCTGTCCACCTTCCTGGAAAGGACAGGATGGACGATGACCTAGGAGGACAACTCCTAGGGAGAATGTACAATGGGTCACATGTGGCCTAAGTGCTGTGGGCTTACACTCACCCTCCCTACTCTACAGATGCAGAGAGATCTTTATATTATAAACTGAACTCATAGATTATGTAACGTGAATGTAACGCTAACGCCAACTATACAGTAGAAACATTAAGTTCCAGATTAACATGGATTCATTTATAAATGCTACTTTGCAATTTATATTGTTGAAGATCTTTATGTTTCATCAGTTGCTGCTCGTACTACTTTCAACAATTAACAGTATCTAGTTTTGTGTCAGTTTTTTATTTTATGGTCAGTTTGCCTAGTTCTTGATCACTGTTTTTGAATTCAAAATTGCTGTAGTCCAACCATTTATTTATCAATGTGAATATTATTAGAATTGAAAGGTATTGAAAGTTTTTGTACTGGGCATTTATTTATTTACGGGCAAGCCCATTTTAAGTATGAATTACAATGTTGAATTATAATTAAAGTAAAATCAGGTAAGGTAGTGAATTACAAATTGCAGCTAAGAATAGTTGAAAAGGGGTAAATTTAAAGTTTGAAAGGGGTTAATTTTAGAGTATAAAACGACAAAACGGCATGATCTATGTAATGAACATTTGTCCTTTTGCATTAGCGAATACCGTTCTGTACAAATAACATTGCGTTACTTGATGTATAAATGAACTTTTTCAATATCTGATGAATAAAAAAAAATTCAGTAAACAAAAATTAACATCGCAGGAGAAACATTGTGGACTTTTGATATATGATAATTTGTCATAAATCCTAAATTTATACTTTCAGGGATATTCGATGACTGAAAGGGTTCAACAGTTGACTGACATGTCAAATAAAAGGGCAGTATTGAGGTTCAATGCCAATAAGTTTCGAGACTTTGTGAAGTCCAGCCCTAGGAATTATTCTGTTGTTATTATGTTCACAGCCATGGCTCCCCAAAGGCAATGTCAAGTATGCAGACATGCAAGTGATGAGTTTACAATAGTTGCAAACTCCTTTAGATATTCACAGTCATATTCAAATAAATTATTTTTTGCTGTTGTCGACTTCGATGAAGGATCAGATGTATTTCAAATGGTAAGTATAGCCTATTTATTTATGATGAGGATACATTGACAATTAAATTGAAATATGACCACCTCTAAATTCATTCTGCATGTAGCAAAATATGTGAAACCCATATTTTAATTATTCTTTAAAATACATTTTCTGAAGAGGAGTCAATGTTCTATTTCATTCTATTCTCAATGGATTTTACATTTTCCATCAGAACCCTGATCCGCTCCCAAATCAGTCTTAAATACTTCTGAATATTCTTGTGCATGAATTTAATCGTAAACTTTGAATACATCTGCCATGAATACTCTGAATTTTCAAACCATTTTGTACCCATAAACTTTCTGTGTCGCAATATAATAACATACATTTTCAAGACTGGAGTCACGATTAGAGGAAATAAAATCTTGGCTGATAGGCTGTGGTATGAAGGGAACAGGTAGTACCAAACGTTTCGTCTGCTACTGAGACAGACAACCTTAGTGTTACATGTGTTGACTGCAACTACGACGGTAGTATCTCGAAGTCAATGTATCTACATACCACTAAGGATGTCTGCTGCAGTAGTAGACGAAATGTTTTGTACTAAAAATCCCATTTGACCTCGGCCTAACAGCCTGGATTTTGTTTCTCTGTCCCCTTATGTGATTGCGATTCTCAAAATAGGTATCGTTATATTTCAAAAACGTCGTTAATGTTTCATTATCAGTTGTTTTTCAGGACATATTTTATGTAAAGAATTACCAAATAATCAGGCCGAATTAACCTCCATAACGTATCTTATTTTATATGAATATAACTGAATTATTAAATGATGTGTCTCTCAAAACAATAAATAAGATTTTGATGGTTAAATGAATGAGTCAATATTTAATGATGATAAAAATAATGTATATTAACAAATACAGGTGAACAGAAAAAAGTTCATAAAAAGTATATCACAAAAACTTTCCATTTTGTATGTGATATGAGTGTTATATATAAATTGTTCAATTCCCTTATAAAATTCATTCTATTCTGTTACTGTGTAGACTGTCTAAAGCAAAGAGCATAGTCTTGTTATTATTAACATATATGTAATAATAATGGTAATAGTACATAACACCTAATTTAGTTGAATAATAGGCATGCTGAAGTGGAAACAACACAAAATATAAAAAATATAACTTTCATCAAAATTTTTACCATAGTGTCATTTCAAAATTCAATCATGAACAAATCTGTACAACCAAAGAAGTATTGAAAACTTCGGCAGTTGCACATGCGGCACAGTCTTGTTGAGATGATAAAATCATGAATAGTAGGCTTATGCAAAAATCTTAAATTTAGTATGTAGAACCACTAAAGAGTTGGTATGAATTCCTTAGAACATCAATGCAAAAATTTGAACTAGTCACTGTTAGTGGGGCCTGACATCATGATATGTCATATTGACAGTAGGGTTGGACCTTGGTGGTCAGTAGTTGTTGAGAAAAGTCCCCGCCCAGTCAAATGCTGCCTTCTTTTACGGATGCCCCTCTGTTCTGTTTTGAAGGGGGTACTTTCTCTTGATGTCCTTATGATCTCAACAAAAATTACTGTCTTCGACACCCACTCACAATCCATAAAAGCCTTTAACCGCTAATTCTCAATTCCTAGAAACGCCACTGGGGCTTTTTTACAGATTTTGGTAATTGAATTTTGAACAATAGCAATTTCTCATCCGTTTTTGTAGAACTTGATACTGCTCCAATCCTGTAGGCAAAATCTACCCTCAATACGAGAGACGGCACGGCGTGATTACGAGGGTGGATTGCTACCGTAGACAATGCAAGGGGTGCGCAAAATCTTTAAATCATTAGAGATGAAAACCAAAATTCGCTTCAGTTCGAAACCTCACTTACATTTCTGCCCATCTTTAGTGAGCGGTCGAGCGCACGCCGTAGAGGTCGGTTACATATTTGACGCTTTTTGTTCCAGTCAGTCGAGTGTGGCTGCGGATTTTTTATTGCTGTGCGAAAGCATGCAAAACGTAATCATTTCTGATGAACAGTTGTTGAAAGTTTCTGCGATGCACTCCTATGCTCGTTGGAGGTGGGCGCGGAAAAAGGCGATGTGGTTTTTTCGGGTAGAAATTCAGTACTTCGTCCCTTCGAGATAAAAATCTTGTGCACCCTCTGCATTGTTCTCAGTACAATCCACTGTCGTGTTCAATCTTGCGGGAAAGGACCCTTGAGAGTCTTGTAATCCACTGATGAACCACTATCCTCCTTAAAATACACAGGAGGGGCATGACTACAATGGTAGAAGTGAGGGCAAAAGAGGTTAAGAAATTGCTTTTGATATACATTTTTCGGCAAGCAGCATTGTGTGCTCCTTTAGAAACCCCTCGTAGCATTTCAAGACCAAAATCTCTAAGGAAAGAGCGGTTTCAGAGACGTTTCCAGGAATGGATATTTCGGGGTTGAAGACTTTTACGATCACGAAAATTCATTCTCCCATCACAGGAGAGAACAGGGGCGTCCGTAAAAGATGCAAACGGGACCTAATGTCAGCAGTACATAAGGGGTACAATTGTAGGGTTTGAGATGAGTAAGTTTTTGGGGTGTGACAAGGCTAAGGCGGTCGTCAGCAGTAATCCAACTCAATTTTAGTCCCCCTGAGTTAACTGAACGGTATTGACAACTTTACGTAAACAAGGCATTACTGATCACCAAGGCACAACCTATTGCCAATATGACATATCATGACGTCTGACTCCAATTATAGAGAACCATTTCAAAGTTTGCCTTTTGTTTATGAGAAGTTCATACCAACCCTACAACTTGATATAAGTGTTGTTTTAATTTTCCTCACGAGAGCTACTGCGCATCCAAAGCCTTAGTTTCTGGGCTTTGGATGTGCAGTATAATATCTCGCTATAATATCATAATCATTTCGCATGGATTCTATTTTCTTGAAATAGACAACTCGTCAGTTTGCTTCAATATTTGTAATGAACTATTCCGAATAATGCATGTGGTAGTATCTGAAAAATATTTTGTAATAAATAACTTGCCTTTTTTTGTTTGAATCTTGTCATTTTGTAACTGCAAATATTCCATTTCAGCTGAGACTCAATACTGCTCCAGTATTTATTCACTTTCCTCCCAAAGGGAAACAAAAAAAAGCAGATACAATGGATATACAACGAGTTGGATTTGCTGCAGAAACTCTAGCAAAATGGATTGCAGAGAGAACTGACATTCAGGTAAAATTAGATAATGAACTATACATATTGTGTTAATATTTATTGATTCCTGAATCTTATGATTTCTTCTTCTCCCAGCACCAATTGTAGTAGGATAACTTTCTCTAATATCATCTTTAGGATTCTAAAGCACTCGAACTTGACTATATTTTGACGAGACTTTAAATATATTATGGAGCCTATTCATATATCAGTACTAGCATAGACACCACTCCCCTCAGTTATTTCTTTTTCTGGCATTTTTATTATTTTTGGATAATCTCTTCCTTAGACACAAAAGGCTGGTTTCCGAATTTTCCCTTTCAAGAGTAAATTGATGGTGAATTTTATGATTTTTCCATGGTAAGTAGCTTCTGTCATGAACATTTTCAACACGGTGGAGTTTGTATATTGTTAAGAGCAAAATGTTGAGAAACATTCTGAAGCAACAGTAATATTTATAAGTCTTTTAGTCAGCAGTAGCAAATTATATGTCATCACAGTTTATAGAACGTCAAATAGTGACAGTGGGATTTTTATTGAAAAAATGTAAGACTTGATGTGCGATGTATACTCATGCTCAAATCAGTACATGGTATGTGGTGATTTCTCTATAAATATATTTGCTGACAATAATATCTCTAGAGAATTGACCAATCTGTTGAATACATTTGGCATGGAAAACCATAAAGAACAAACCACACGAATTACCAACAAAAGCTCTATATGTATTGATCTTATAATTTCGAATATTACAATATGCTCAAAATTGGTGGAAGATAATTACATATCGGATCATACATTTCAAATATGCCAATTTAGTCTGGATGTGGGAAAGAATGAAAGAACAGAAACACAATATAAACGGGATTATTCTGGAAATAATTTGATGAACTTCAAAAATCTGATTGAGAAAGAACAGTGGGCGGATATTTATTCTTCTTCCACAGTGGATGATAAACTCAGTAACTTTTTCAACACTTTCAAATTCCACTACAAAATCTCATTTCCATTTGAATGAATTCAAATAAAGAAACGTTGTACATTCAGAGATAGCAAAGAACTAAAAGAACTTCATATTATGCTTTGTGATATGGCTACATTATTGAAATCTCATCAAATATGACCATTAAAAATAAATTTGATACATTGAAAAACCAATATAAAGAGAAACTAAAGCAGGAAAAGTATAATTACAATTCTGAAGGAATAAAAAGTACTTCAAACAGGATGAAAAAAAGTTGCAAAGTTATCAACAAATCCAAAAATCAGTCAGTAAAAAAGGTCAATTATAATGGCGAATGTGTGACAAACTTATAATATATTCAGTTATCACTTCAATGATCTACATTATCCCCCGGTTAATAATTATTAAATCAAACTAATCTCTTATTTCCACCATATATTATTTCTCTCTCCTACTAATACATATGAAATTGATTATTATATTATTAATACCACCAAGAAAACAGCTGAATAAATTGATGAAATTTCTGGAAGATCGCTGAGGTATGTCAAAGAACATATAAACGAGCCCCTAGCACACTTAATCAATGAAACGTTTGTTACAGGTCAATACCCAACAAATTTGAAAACTTCAAAATCAGTACCGATATATGAAAATAAAGGATTCAAATATGACGTTAATAATTATAGAAACATCTGCTTACAAAGTCAACTATCAAAAATTCTCAACTTTGCTTTCAATTGCTTTCAAAACCATAATCAACAGCAGTAGCAGAACTCTGAAAACATTTGTAACTTAACAAAAAACAAAACATAATAGCTTTATACTTCGACTTGAGCAGAGCATTTGATACTGTGAGTCATGATAGAAAAATTGTGTTTAATAGGGGTTCGAGGTGTTGTGAATGATTGGATCACAGCATATTTGAAAAATAGAAAAAGGTTTACAGTATAACATGATGAATCAAAAGAAATAACAATATGGGTGTCCCACAGGGTTCTATAATGACCCCAATATTCTTCATTATCTTTATAAATGATATGATTAATTCATGCCCAAGTGCGCAAAATATAATTATGTTTACCGACGATACTAATTTTCTTATCTCAGAAAAAATATATGTCTTTCAGAGTTGAAAGGTCAAAGTATGATACAAGAAAATGCGATAACCTACATCAACCATACTCAAGATTAACCATTGGACAAAACTCACACATATATAAAGGTATTCTTTGTTAATAAATTCGCATTATATTTTGTGTGAGTCCAATAAGCTATACATTCTGCACTCCTTTTTGTAACAACTTCAGTAACAAATAAAGTTCTATTCATTTTTATCCTATTCTCAAATGTCACTTGGAGGACTCTTAAAATATTCAAACTCTGCCATGTATTAACAAGATTGCAGTTGAGGCCTGTCCAGATATCAAGTTAGCTCAGCTCAAGCTTTAGATACCAGTCTTCCCGGTTGTTGTCAGCTGACTAGAATAATTTGGCAGTAAGTCTGTTGATTGAATGTTCGGTTCTTTGATTTCCTTCCCACTGAAGTTGGTGCCAGCTCTTATTGAAATTCCCATTTGTGGCCTTTTTTATGTCTTTGTGAGTATATTGGACAATAAAGGAGCCAGTGAAGTTATCAGAGTACTCACAGGTCTGATTATCTATATGGGATTTCAACATTGATGAAATTCAAAAATAAAGCATTGAATCTGTTGTTATTTGATCTTGTTCACATTTTAGTATATTTATATGTCACTAACGTTTTCTTTTTGTTTTAGATTCGTGTATTTAGACCACCAAACTATTCAGGAACTCTGGCATTGATAGTATTATTTGCTATAGTTGCAGCATTTCTGTATTTACGAAGGAATAATTTGGAGTTTCTTTATAATAAAACAATGTGGGGAATGGGAGCATTATTTTTTTGTTTTGCAATGACTTCAGGACAAATGTGGAATCATATTAGAGGACCTCCATTTATTCATAAAAATAATAATGGTCAAATAGCATACATACATGGGTCGTCTCAAGGACAATTCGTATTGGAAACATACATTGTCATGTTTCTAAGTATCCTTTTTGTTGAAAAGTTTCTATCGAATTCCCAATTTCTTTTGAAAACCAAACTGAATTCACTCTAAATAATTGTTTTCATTCGTCAAGTGAATACCTCCCACAAATCATATCAATAATAGTCAAATTTCAACCAGTTGAATTACACTTGCAAATATATTATGTAAGTTATAATAAATGATATAATAGCAAATGATTCAAAAAACATAAAACAAAGGTATTTGTGAGTTTTGACTCATGCATGGGTAAATTATAGATGGATTTTTTGTATCTTTCAAATGAAACAAACGTCACTGTTGACTTGTGATATACTGTTTGGAACCTTTGGTGTAGTAATGAATATTACTGGAGTTTTTTTTCCCCAACACCAAATCGTTATTTTTACACCTTGACACGCGTTTCGATCACCAAGTGATCATCTTCAAGAGGAAGATAAAACAAAAGTTTTATCTTCCTCTTGAAGATGATCACTTGGTGATCGAAACGCGTGTCGAGGTGTAAAAATAACGATAAGATAAAACTTGGTGATCGAAAGTTTTATCTTCCTTTTGAAGATGATCACTTGGTGATCGAAACGCGTGTCGAGGTGTAAAAATAACGATTTGGTGTTGGGAAAAAAACTCCAGTAATATTCGTCACTGTTGAGTTTGCTTTTACAAAAAATATTTAAGCACCATTTTCAAGACTGATCATCATGTTGCTTCGTAAAATTTGCTAGAAATAAGTAATGATGAAGCAGAATTTGGGTTATCTTCTAATTTTAGGAATACTCGATTGCAATGAGTTAATAATAATGATGATGTTTGTTTTCAATTCAAATATACATACAAACAGTCAAAATTTCAGTGTAAATGAACAATTCACACTCGTAGTGAAATTACTCATTGTGAGTTTTGATACAATAACAGTAGCGAAGGAAAATGTTGAACCAATATCTTAATCTGTGCAATTTCATCATGTAAGGGACATTATTGAATATAGTCGAGATTTTTTACTTTTCTTAATTTGATGAATGATTTTTTTATCTGTCAGTATAGCATTTAAACAAAATTTTATCTATTATAATAATAATATGTAGAGTATAAACATTACAAATAAACCGAAATATCCCTATGAAGATAAACTTTGTATTGGTATTGAATTATTGAAAGAAAACATTTTTTTAAACTGTTACTAGGTAATTTGATCCATCAATTTGTATCAACAAAATTTTGTGAAATTATAAAACAACAATAAAAATAAAAACAACAATAAAAATTAATTGGCGCTCCGGGGCGATTTCATTGATTCCAGTGGCGCATTTGCTTTTTCAGCTGCAGGAAAACCCGGAAAAACCTGCAGCACCACATCATCTGAAGATCTTGATCTGACAATGTCCTCTCTCTCATAAAACAAAATGTAGGAAGTCTCCAGAGGCTCCAATAGATTCAATACAACATTTTTGTCTTTTATCATTTTTTATCCATTTGACTTTTCCAATGTGAAAAAAATGATTGAATACATGAGACTTTTTTTGACAACAAATCATAAAATAAGAGTATTATATAAATGAAATTCACTACGGAACTACATTATATCAAAATAATAGTCCGATATCCATTTTTCCAGTTCCTTTAAATAATTTAAAAAACATTCGAGATATTTTTCATAAATGATTTTGAAAAACCATATTTGAAAAATACCTAAATCTCTAAAATTATTAAATCGGTCTTATCCGTTAGATATAAATTGTTGAAGTTGAGGAATTATTTTAGTTCATTTCATAATAACGTCAACTAGGTTGGTGAAACACACCTCGAGAAGAGTTTTACAATTCCGGTGTGTGATTTATTATGATGGATTTATTCTTTACCAGAAATGCCATTTCTGCCTTTCTGTCTAATAACCCTGTCATATTACTTGCATACCTCGTAGATCTAACGACTATTGGGTCTATAGATCTATACAGAAAAATGGTATTACAATCTTACTGAATAACTTTCAAGTCTAGGTCTAGTTAAGTTCAACTTTATGGTTATGCTGAATTACCAAACTACCATTTTATTTCAGTTCTACAGTAAATGGTTCATAAACCAAAATGCTTTATTACATATTCCTTAACGGAAATATAGATGCTGCTGTCGTGTTGGGAATTATATTGTTGACAGAAGCTGCTAAAGGCAAGGGTGATCCAAAGAAACGAAAGATGTCTGCAGTTGTTGGGCTCATTTTGGTATCAGTTTTCTTCTCATTACTCTTATCTACATTCAGGACAAAAACACAAGGTTACCCTTACAGGTGAGAAATATATGTTTTGGTTAAATGTTTATTGAATGCTCGAGTAAATATTTGAATATGAGGAAGTTTTCAAAGTTCCTGAGTAAAGCTTGATAAATAGGTAACAATGAAATATTATCGAAGATTGAATGAAAATTGAATTGAATTGATACGTTTTGTCTCATTTTTCCTTCTGATCTGATCCTAATTTAATTTAGTTAAATTTATCATATGGCTCAGTAAATGATTGTATGGAATTTTGTTCATAGTAAATTATCTAGTTACCGTATCTTCCAATTTTTGTTTAATATTGCCTTAAATCCTATTACAATACACATCTTTTTAGTCAATTTTCAATCATGAAATTAAGATACTTCCATGACTGGGTTGATTGCTGTGCTCTTTAAGCTATTTTCTGTTTACCGTCGCCAGAAAATGTTTGATTGAGGTAATTGTCTGAGGCACCCAACTTGAAGCGACTGTAAAGACGCTCAACAAATTCAGTAGAAACTTTCTGGAAATATATTCATATTCTAAGAAATCGAGCGAGAGTACAGTACCAAATTTTCTACTGTACTATTAGATGGATTTCAAATTATAGAACTTTAATTAAAAAAGCTGAATATTAGCAAAACCAAACTTTTTTTTTCTAGACCAAATTCGAGTATAATAACCACCAATTCTCTAAAGTTGGCTAAAATTTGACAAAGTTTATATACGATTGAATAGATAATTTCAAACCACCCTTGTGCATCATTTTTGACTTTTTCAAAGCTTTTGTAACTGTTACACATGTGATGATGTGTCATATAATTTAATGAAATTTACCTGACTGATACAGAGCAAATAGTGAACATGTATGGTACCAGATTACCTTCGGACCCAACTCGTTTAACAAATGAAACACCTATTTTTTACAACACAAATATATGTCCGGAAATTATGAAAAAAATCAGGAAAAGGCATAAAAAAATTGTTCAATGGTATACCTTCTATTCACATCCTATATCAGTAATAAATAGAACAATTAGTTGTAATGAACATATCAGTTCCAGAATCAAGTTTTTCTTTAGATGTTTAGTATCATGAATGATTGGCACATTATCATCATCATCATCACAATGGTGCGTTTAATATCCCATTCTTCATTTATTTATCAACTGGCAAACTGATAATACAAGTCAGCATATTGTAAAATACATAATTTGATATAATATGAATTCCTATGAAATTGGTGGACAAGCAAATATCTTAAAAGTATTACACAGAACTGCACATAAAATATGTGATGAACTGAACAGTTCGTCACAACATGTGTTTCACCATACAATAGCTCTACTGAAAACACTTTTTCCTCACCAGAACAAAAATATCGTACCTTGACGTGTGTTTCGATAAACAAGTTGGCATCATCAGGACATGACTATCGTCTTTGGCGTCTCCCATCAAAGTGATTTTTGGTTAATTATGTTTCAGTTAATAACATCACGTCACAATGAGAACAACAAACAGCATGTTTGAAATCCATAAGTCTAGTTGGCATGCCACTCCTATTTTGATAACATATTAGAAGTTCGTCTAGATTTTTTTTCTCTATATAGGCACTCTTCGCACATTATTCATTGTAACATACCTTTCATCATCTTCTAGCCTCAGTTGAAGATCTATCCGTTGATGATTGAAATGAATAATTTAGAGAACTGGAGCTACCTTATCATCGTTGGGAATTTTAATGTTGTACCTTGAAATATGCAGCAGTTTATTCTGATTTTATATAATAATTTAAATTGGCCTGAACACCTTCGTGATGACTACATCGGAAAACTTTACTAAGGCAACATCCACAGCACCAAGGTCATCTAGCTCTGCAGAATCAGGCATGTTGTAGATGTAGACCACAAGATTAGATTTATGTTGTTTGCAATCATTGTATTCGACCATGAATGTCCTCTTCTATATTTTGGTTAAAATTTCTTTTCTTATCTTTGTCGTCTCACGGAGTTATCTGATTCCATATTTTCCTATTTATGCATTTCTTTTCTTCTTTGGATTGGTTTCCATTTTATCATTTTTCAATCATGTCCGTCGATGGCCTTCTCATTATATTTCCAAGCCATTCTAACCATTGCGACTTGATTAATTTCTACTACTTTTCCATACCTTAGCTCCTTTTCTATTTCTTTTATTTTTATCTTGTTTCTCCTTCTAGGGTGATATCAAGTCTCAAAAACTGTTCTCATTATTTTTCTTTCCAGTCCGTTTCCTCCTTTATTTGTTATCACTGTTGTTTCCATTGCATATGTGATGACAGGTCTTTATTTTTGTCATTTTGCTTAGTTCTTTATTTTTTAGCATTTGTTTCTTTCAACGGCTTGATTTTTTTTCTCTCTGTTAATTCTGTCTTGAATTATATCTTTTCCAAATCGATACATAAGATGGACAAATGTCTTCACCAACGAAGCTTTGGGATATATCCATGAGAATTAAATAGAAACTTCCTCACATCATTACTCCAAAGTATACTTTTTAAATTCGAAATTTATTACCTGCGGTTATAAAAACCACAAAAATAATAAATATAAGCAGAAAAAAATGTATTGAAGGAAATTTCTTAGCTATATATATGTACTATTTCATATTAAGGATTGGAGACATTTTGTTAACTTTGACATGGAAACTCCGAACTTGCCACACATACCTAATTTTGATACAAATATTAAATCTTGAATATAACCTAGCCATTCAATACAACCAAATCGTGACATACATTTTTTGCTATGACGCTGATCAAAGTATTCAATTTGTTGTAAAATTTTATATCGAACTGCTCAAACTTTGGCAGAAAATGCTTTTTTATATTAGAACTGTGATCGCCGTTTTACTTTTTATTGTCACAAATATTCATTCCTCAATTTATTTACCTAACAATTTATTTGTTTGAATTCAATTGATTCATGCATTTGTTCGACACATTAAAAACGATTGTTCGCAAAATTTGTTCTATTTTGAATGACACTTGATTTAAAATGTTACATGAATAAAATTGTTACTTGAATAAAAAAGACTAATGAAATAACTTGAAGCTTTTATTGATTCCGAAGAAAAATATTGTTTCAGAGTATTGGAAAATGGAACGCCAATTTACTATATATTATGCTGAAAAATAATCTATATACATATAGTTCAACTCAGCAATGAACACATTTTTATTCAACAGTCAATGGAATAAATTATTCGAGTAAATTCAACAAACGTTACAATTCGGCATATAATTTTGACCCTTGAATAATATGTTAGTTATTTATATGACTGTTGAATTATAATGAAACTTTAAATTCACTTTCTAAAAGTAAGTTTGGGAATAAAATTTCAATGAATATATTTGAATCACTGTCAAAGTTATTCCATGAAACATTGTTGGTAATAAAAATAGACTTTCGTTTGTCTGAAAATATAGCAAATTAACTTTCCATACCAAATATTTTTCTATGAATAATAAAGATTGTTATATTTCAATTTTATTGAAAGTGTTGAATATTTCCAACTTTCACTTTAATACATTCAATTTAAAATTTGGTTACAACTTTTGTGCAAAACATTCTCAACCAAGTATCATTTTATTTCATCAATCTTTTTAAAAAGCTAATTTCTGACAAAGAATTTAATTTTTTGATGATTTAAAAAGTTTGTTGTATTGGAAATCTACATTTAAAACGATTGTTAATAATTTTAATTCGGCGCTGGTATCGAGCGGATTATTACCGTACTATGACTAACGCCATACATATATACAGTTGAGTAGTTCCACAAAAATACGTCCGACGTCAGCGCCGAATAAAAATTATCAACAATCAATTTAATTCATGTATCACTGAAATTCAACAAACAAAATAATCCAGCTCGTTCCAAAGGAATATTAATAAAATTGGCATTTTGTAAAAATGAATTGTTTTGATTGTTGCTTTTAGGTGATACATGACGGAATATTGTGTTACTATCACTAGACAGACAGGTATAAAAATTCAGCTTTTGCAAGAATCCGCTCGACGCTAGCGCCGAATTGAAATTATCAACGATCGTTTTAATTCATGTAACTATAATTATCAACAAACAATTTTATTCATGTTTCACAGAAATTGTAGTAAATTATTCGATAGTTACAAAAAAAGTATATATGACAAACATTTACTTACAAAAATTTCAAACAATGAATCTATATTATAACTATTCACAACTTTTCATAAAACAAATTAATTCATGTAAAATTTTAAATCAAGTGTCATTTAAAATAGAACAAATTTTGCGAACAATCGTTTTTAATGTGTCATACAAATGCATGAATCAATTAAACTCAAACAAACAAATTGTTAGTTGAATAAATCGAGGAATGAATATTTGTGACAATAAAAAGTAAAACGGCGTTCCATAAAACTGACAGACTTTTTCTCTAGAAGAATTTATTTTATTGAACAACTGTTTTTATTTACAAAACATGTGTTCAACTATCAATCGTATTCATGATACAGGGTCCTAACAAGTATTAACCCTCAACTGGAAACACGTGAAAGTAGTGCGCTATGAGTAACACACGTCTGACAGACGCAACCCAGGAAAATTGGTTATTTTAGGGTATCTTTAAGAAGATTAAGTGTCTATAAACAGTTTTATTCATTTACTACAATTAATAATGATATTTTAAGAATTACTTGTAATATTGTTTACACACAAAAATCTGATAACCTAATAATAAAAAATATACAGAGGTAAAAATATAGTTCTTAAAATATTAGTCATACATTTGGTTCATTTCTTTAAAAAAAACATCAAAAAAATTGAATAAAATTTAAAAGTTAAAAACTATAAACATCGAAGGTAAAAAACAAAGTAATAAAAGTTAAAATATATAGGTATAATAATTATTTGTAAAAATGCAAAAGTAATAATTAAAATAGAAAAAAAAAATAACTTGAGGCTGTGAACCTTACTTTGCTCACATTATGGGGATTACTCTTTAGCTTCTTTTACAATNTCGGAGATGATAACAAGTTGAAGCTATAATGAATGCAATTAAAATATTTGTAGCCTTCACCAAACTTCTATTCATCACATCGCTTGCGAACATTTTTAAAAGTATTTCGGAATTGTTGCTGAGTAATTGCAGCACACGCTTGCTGAATTCTTATCACAGTTCCGCTCGATGCCTTGGTCGTGATTTGTAGACATTTTGTGTGACATAGTCCCATAGGAAAAAAACCAGTATAGTATGGTCAGGCGACGATCTAGGTGGCCATCCAATTAATCTACTACCCCGTGTTCAATCCAACGACTAGGGTAGTTCTGATTCAGCCAACTCTTCACAATTCCCGCATTAGATAAGAACAGGACAGCCATCTAACTGAAAATATAAATTTCTTGTTTCTGCAAGGAGAGGTTCATTCAGTATTCCACACCAAACATTAACTTTTTCTGAATACCTACTGCCTTTTACAGTTAATTTCCCAGTTAGGATTTTCAGTGGCCAAATATCGAATATTTTGTGAGGAAACCACTCCATTTTTTGAGAAACCCAATATTCTCCCTAGGTAAGTTCAAATCAAAGCTGGCCACCCTCAAACTATTATTTGGATTTTTTCTGAAATAACCCAATATAGTCTGATTATTTCCATTCCTTCTTCGTATATTATTCTTCAAAATATAGGTACATGGATACTGCTCCAGCTCGATTGAGTACTTGTTTAATTGTATGTACTTGTGATATACTGTTTGGAACCTTTGGTGTAGTAATGAATATTACTGGAGTTTTTTCCTAACAAGAGGAAGATAAAACTCTTGAAGATGATCACTTGGTGATCGAAACACGTGTCGAGGTGTAAAAATAACGATTTGGTGTTGGGAAAAAACTCCAGTAATATTCATATATTAATTGTATGTAGTTACAGCTGATTAACGGAAAAACAGATTTGTTTTAAACTGTGCCGTTATTTATGGCTGGACGATTTGGGTGTCTTTCGGTGAATATTCTAGTTACTTCACTTCGGTAATTATCTCCAGAAATACGTATAATTTCGATTTTTCCTTGAAATGACAATTGGGCCACTATCTAGTTTTATTTTGAATTACAAACTTAGTTTGATAAAGGTGGATCACGAAATGACAATTCCTGAACAAATAGATGACAAACTAGTCGTAGCACACTTGCTCATTCCGTTAACCCATTTAGAGCAATAACATATTTCGTGAAACAAATTAAACATAAAGTAAAACAATTAGGGATAAATACACATGTTGCGTATAAGCATGACTGGCATATAATTAGAATAACTCTTTTCTGGAGGTGCCAGGTGAACAAAAAAGTAAACGTGGATTGAGATCAGTATATAGTCAGAATTTTGCTAGAATTCCATTGAACGACAAATTTTTCAAACTTTACTCCCTTACAATTTTTTCATTGATAAACAGATTTTGTTGAAATTTTCAACAGTCATATCTCGAGAGATACTAAATCCAGTAGTGTAGTCAGAACTGAGATAAAACTTGAAATTGAAGTGGTGTGTTGATTAAACAACATATTTTTCTAATTTTATTCACTTACCTATAGCTTCATTATTATTGGATGCATTTCTTCGTAACTTATTTGACATAGACCATTTGAAAAAGTCACGAATCCAGTGGTGTAGTCAGATTAAAAAAAAAAATCGCAATTTTTTTTATTTTTGCCCTTGAAAAATAAGAATAGTTGGGCCTGAAAATGACGAATAATTCATGAAATGTGGTGACCCTGTAGACTTTATGATTATCTACCGAATGCAAGAAGAATTATTCAAATCGGTTGGGAAATAAAGATTTTATAAGGTTGCTTTCATCTTAATATCTATCGTAATATTCGAGGTAGAACGATGAAACTCTCTGGAAATCTCTATTTAGGAAACAGATAGGAATCTAAATTTCTATAATATTACCTTATTGCTCGAGCTCGACAAAATAAAAATATTAGCGGTCACACAGGGTGATCAATTTTTTCTGTTTTTTTAAAAGGCAACATATATTTTTTACAGTGGTTTACAGTGGTAAATCTCTGCAAATTTTTATTTACAATATGTGGCAATCGTTTGAGAGAGTTACCACTCTCTGCAAATTTTTATTTACAATATGTGGTAAGCGGTTTTTCATACCCTGTATATCACAGGTCGATTTAAGATATATCGTTTGAGAATCTTCCTTATTTTTAATGGAACACCCTGTATATTATTGATCCATAAGGAGCGCCAACGAAACCTCTACAAATTTCATTAAGTATTCCCTATGGCTAGGTTCAATAGTTTTTCTTAAAAATGGTCGTTCTTCCTCTTACTACGCCATAAACTCGATGAAAGACTTTTTTCAAAGTAAAATCCATTTGACGACTGATAAGAATATACAAAAGATATATTTTTTCAATTTTGTACATTACAGCGTGTCCTATAGTTTTTTTTTCTAAAAATGACAACTCTCTATTTTATCGTCATAATATCAATGATTTTTTTACTGTGAAATCCATATGTGACGGCTGTGATCGAGATATATGTTATGTTTATAACACATTCATTCTCTAAATAGAACACCGTGTAATTTCTTCATTTGTTGCATAGTTTTTGTCCAACCCTTTCCTTGAAATATCGCCCTATGCCTAAAATTACATGTTGCTAGATAAACAAGTTGTGAATTACATCACAAAATGTACGTTCTTGAATAGTTTCATATAGATTTTCATATTAGGTGAATTAGGAATCGTTTATTGGCAAGTAGAATGTATTCTCAACGGTATCCAGATAGGAGACATCCAGATGAAAGATCTTTCCGAAAGGTCTTGAGACGATTTGTTGAAACTGGATGTATCAATTATTCTAAACATGAGCGCATCAAGCCAGCTAGTAATGAAGATAATGAATTGCAAGTTCTTCTTGCTGTTGAAGAAGTGCCTAGTAGGAGTCAATGGCAAATTGGTGAAATAGTGGATATAAGTGAGAGATCAGTGCAACGAGTTTTGAAGAAACATTTCATCCATACCATGTTCAATTACATCAAGAACTACTGTATGCCGATTTTGAGAAAAGAGTGAGATTTTGCAATTGGGTCATGGGAAAAATTCGTCGAAACGAATATTTTTTCAATAACATTTTATGGTCGGATGAATGGACATTCCATAAAAATGGATTTGTGAATCGACATAATTACCATTATTATTCGACAGAAAATCCCCACTTATTGAGACAGGTGGACTATCAATATAAGTGGTCGATAAATGTCTGGGGAGGCATCATTGGAGAATATGTAAATGGTCCATACTTTTTTGAGGGACATATGAATGGAACAATGTATCTCAATTTATTACGAAATGATTTACCAGGCTTGTTAGAAGATATTTCTCTTGACCTTCCCAATAGAATGTGGTTATAACATGATGCACCTGCTCACTATTCGACAGAAGTGAGAGACCATCTAAATGAAGTAATTCCCAATAAATGGATAGGACGGAATGGGCCTGTACGGTGGCCCGCTAGATCACCAGATTTAACAAAACTGGATTTTTTCTTATGGGTATACATAAAAAAATATGGTTTACCTCAAGCCACCAACTTCTTCCGAAAATATGCGACTTTGAATAACGAATGCTTTTCGCAGCATTACACCAACTGTCTTCCGCAGGATAGAACAGTCTTTCAAAGATAGACTTCAGCTCTCCCGGGTTGAGTGCCCTGAAGTAGAAGCTTCCCCCCCCCCCAGCTATTTAGCGAGGAGAACCTACTACCCCACTCCATCCACCCCCGTTCTCCGAGCGGTTCTCAACTTGCTGATGGGCACTTCAGCAAGATTGACATCTGACCTCTTTTTGGTCGTAAGTCAGCCTTTAGGTGCTTTTACTTTTTTATCGAATCGTTGTTTTATCTGACTATTCCTAACTGAATTCAAGCATGGGGGGCCCCCAAAAAGTAACCGGCGGCTTTGTGTTAATGCATCAAGTGTTTCTCAATGCATCCAAGAAACATTTTTAGAGTCGCGATCGCGGTCGAAGTGTTCTTCGCTGAACCTACCTGAAAGAGAGTGTATCTGGTCAGTGTTATACTTACCTAAGTCGCCTGACGGCGACTAACGGGGGCGGTCTGTTATTCTGTTTAGTCGGCCTGGGATGTTTGTCTCTTTCTATCCTGTCTTGCGCAGGATAGAACATTCTTTCAAAGATAGACTTCAGCTCTGCATTCAAGAAAATGGAAGACATGTTGAACATATTTTATAAAAGTTTCATTATCAACCTTCATTAAACTTTCCCTTTTGTAGATTGCCAGTTGACAAATTTAAATATCTAGAAATTTAAGCTCTGAATTTATGAATATACACCATAACATGAAAAAAAAATAGTAATATTATAATGTTTTTTCATTTAATCTTGTTTGTTTTGATATTGCATGGAGTCTACATTGGTGGAGTCTACAATACTTCGGAAACTGATCTGAGGAAAATAGTCTTCTGGTTGAAAAAATAAATTAGGTTTGAATGTGAAATCCACGCCTCTCTACTCATTTTAGGTTAATTATATCCCATCTCTTACTTACAATTGCTATTTAGCCAGGTTTTATGAGTTAAGTAGACATCCCACCTAGGTAGTCAATTATCTCTTTGTTCAGTACTGTGGTTTCTCATCTATTCCTACTAACACAATGGCAAAAGAGAAGTACTTCAGCTTATCGCCATCAAATATTCCAAATATTCGTTTTTCTTTTCTACCAAAATATAAAAAAAAATGTTTTCACATGTTATTTGACTAATCAAACATCTCGTTTAGAACATGATGAATTATGATAAAACATATCTTAGTGATCTCTTGCCGATCTGAGTTAACTCAATGTCAGTCTCGGTTTATATAATATATTTCAGTACCGACACCCATGATTTTTTAAAATTTATTGTAATAAAATTGATTTTCCACAAAAATATGTCAGGTTGAAAATGAAATAGGTTTATGTTCAAAAGGCCATTTTATTGTTTCACTTCGTTCAATATCAGTTATATTATATTTTAAAATTATTTCACTTAGAATTGTATTTTTTATGTATTCATCTAGATACAAACATATAATGAATTTTGATGGTAGATAATACATATATTGCCCCATTCGATTCACAAAATGAAAAACTCAACAGATTCATATAGATACCCAATATAACAATAGCAATAAAGTTCATTCTCCACCCTGTATATACAATCCCAATGTATATGTATATATCAATACATATACATATATAATAATGTAAATATATACCTATCAAAATCACACAAATGGAGTTGGAAATTTTAACTACAGAATTTGTATATAAAAGTAATACAACTATGGCAATAGCCTCATATACTGGAATGTGTAATAATTTTAGGTTTGGATATATAATGCATTGAAAAAACTACCCTTTATTATTCTCTCATTCAAGTCACAGTCATATATGAAATTTTATTAAAGCATTTTTGATATTGTCATCATTTATCACTTTGATTTCCAACAAAACAAAGTAAAGCTGCCTTTAATTTAATTATTGAAAAATATCGGTTAACATTCTATCAGTAAATTGTTAATCAATGTTTTTGTGTAGTTTTGAAGAAAAGGAAAATGATTCACAAGAAAATAGAAAAAATTTTTGGCACGTAGACGTATTTCAAAACAATACAAATTGCACTGTTTTTTTCAACCTATAACCTAGTTTATATACACATCTTATATTTTATTTGCACATGCTTTAAAGTCTTTCATTATTGGCACCAGTTAATTGTTAGATAATGCACATATTTTCATAACTTCAGTCTTCAATGATGGGGTCCTGTGATGGGAGGGTCAGGCGAACAAACAATATTTATGTGTCTTGTGTTGTTACTGAGGTCAGTAGGTCCATCAATACTCAAATCCGTTGGTTTCTCATCATACTCAGTGGAAGATCTAGAGGAAGTTATTTCATCAGACATTTCGGCAGGTTCAGATTTAACTATACTCTGGGAAATATTTGTAGCTATTGGTGGTTTAGTACTAGTGGGGGACATTTGTTGTCTCAATAGTGATATGTTTTTGATGTTCTTCAGTTCAGTTGGGTTTCTGAGAAATCTGCAAAAAAGATAGAGGAAATTAATTCACAAAAGTATTTTATATAGAAATGATTGTACAGCAAGGCAGAACTTGCCAGGGAAAACAAACCCTTCAATTCTATTGTCAATCCATTGCTCTCGTTTGAAATGCCAGCAGATATATGTGTTCCAAAAAATATAAAAATCAAGTAGGCCTAGGCTGTCTTGTAAATTGTGGTGAAGTGTTTGAAAGAGGATTTTAAATTTATCAGTTATGGGGTACTCAATTCCGGAAAGCGGACCGGGCTATTAAACCAACAGCATCCTAACAGACATCTTTCTGGGAAAATTGTTCGCGAGTTGGTGGTAAAATTTCGCGAAACTGGAGTTCGAAATAAAACGAGGCAGGGTGGAAAGTGGAAAGTGATGAAGTTGTGGAGGAAGCAGTATTGCGGCAAAATTTATAGTGCGTTCAGTACAAGAAAACTAAGCGACTTTGATCGCCACGTGGAGTTTTGCCGAATTGCAAGTGAACGAGCGACGGGAAATGATTATTTCCATTTGAATGTGTTTTAAGGAGGAGTGTACTTTCTTTTTGAATGCAACAATTGTTGTCAGTGATCGGATAGTAATCCCAATATGGTTATTCGAGCAGGACACGTAAAAAAACCATCAGAAGTTGAAATGTGTATTGATTTTGGAAATTCTATTTTGTGTCCTTTATTCTTCTTGGAAAGTGATATTTATCTATGTTTACTCCAAAATATTATTGACCCAGATATTATTAATAACATGAACCTATATACATTGAACAGGAAATTATGTTACTTATTAGTCTGTACATATAAAACATGAAATGCCTCGCACTCTACCTCATTTAATGAAATACCTGCCAGGACGAATCTTATTGTGAAATGTCACCGCCACTGCTCCGAAATATACTAAAAAGGTTTGAAGATAACCTTCAGGGGATTGTCGTACATTTCTAGCATTTGCTTGATCAATACAGTTTTTAAGTAAAATACCTGCTTTAACCTTTGCATTTTTTGGAAAACGTATTATTAGCATTTTGAAAACTCCATATCTTCTGAACGAGTGAACGGATTTAACACTATTGTTAAAAATTCAAATAAAATCAGAGTTGCAATCTATGTTACTATGAGATGATATAAGGAAGTTTTTTTCAACACGGTAAAATTATATTTTTATTACTTGGTCGAAAAATAGTGGACAATATTTTGTGAGTGAAATTTTTAATGATAGTCTGTTTGAAAACTCCAGAAAAAATATTTCGGAATTTTCAAAATTTCGTGAAACTTAAAAAACACCACCTTTCATTTGGTTCAAATGATCGGAATGTATAGAAGTTGTCAACGTTAATGAAATATTATCTATGAAAAACTTTTATATTAAAAATTAGGGGATGAAATTTAGATCTTATTCGAAATTATAAAAGTAGTATTATAGCTACATGAAATGTATTGAACTTTTAACAAAATAGAAAAAGTTAAACAAAATTGGTTCTGACATTTTTTTGGTATCTTCAGTTGTTTTTGAAATAATTCCGATAAACCGATGTGTCCGATATTTCAATCAATATTTATCGAATTGATAAGACACCAATATGTAAAATCATTTATCTGGTGTCAAAACGGCTGAAAAAACTAAATTACCGTGAAACTGCCAAGAATCACGACCATGTTCTAACGATTGGATACATTGTGAGATATCAAAAGAAACATATATGGTATACCTAAAAGTGACGATTAAAAAACACCGATCTCATCGAAAAAAAAAACATAGAGTACTTGAAAGAACGATATTCACAATTACTTGAAAATGCTTTCAAAATGAAGATCTGAGTATATTCAATTTTATGAAGTTTATCCAGGACTAGTGGCGGCCCTTTCCGAAATTCTACAAGGAATATAGATATTTCGTAGCTGCATTAATTGAATAATTTATTTAGACGATTTAATAGTTATCAACATAATAATTCATATACACATATATGTAGTAAAATGTTTTTGGGTCCCCCGAATCAACACTCTATATAATCACACCCAGTGACTCACTTACAGTTTTTCAAAGGAGCAAATTCTAAAATTCATTCGGGATGTTGGGTATGTAACATATAAACACGATACTTGAATACGAATTGAGGAATACATTGTCCTAATGCTTAGGACACTTTAAAAATAAGTAAATTGTGTACGTGCCAACCAACATTTGAATTTCAATGAAAATCAGGTTGACACTGCCCCAGGAAGTAGTAAAATGTAAAATTGAAACCGTTGGCGTAGAATAAATCCAGTTGCAATACTGTTCCCGACGTGGGTTTCACCAATTAAGTTGACGTCTTCAGGAGGATGAAGTAGACTTACATCTCGGAGATGAAGTAGACTATCTCATCTCCGAGGTTATCCCAGAAACGAATGAAATTTCCGTTGCTCAGAGTATTGAGAACGTAACTCCCCGACATTTTACGAATTTTTAATTTTTCCATCTCCTGAAGACCAAGTTTGGTGAAACGCGAGTCGAGAGGAATATTGCATTTATGGTGATTGGAAAAATTGCTTGCATTTGGACTGAAGGAACTGGTAAATTCTGCAAACAAAAATCTACTTTAATTTTTCACACATGAGACTTAACGATACTTTTCACAAAAATTGGTACGAAAAAAAAATTCAAAAGGAAGTGAGCAGATGTCGGAATTTTCTTAGGCTTGAAGTCTAATCCAGGGGTCTCCAAACTTTGAAGCCTTCGGGTCCCAATGATTTTTTCAGTTTGCTCCAAGGGCCAATTTCTGCCCTCAACTATATTTTTAGACTAGGAAAGTCGCAAAGTGCGTGACCTAAGCAAACTTACGCTTTTTTTGCATTTCAATTATTATTGTGTATTGTGACACTTAACGACACCTAGTGGCGAGTAGTGGTACTATGTACTATCTTTTTCAGCTACCCGCTGGTGGCATTAGGCGTAATTAAATATTTGGAATAACCGCGTTGGTTCGAGAAAGTTCTGGTTCTAGCTAGTGTATTCCGATCACCTCGAGATGGCAGTAATAATTGCATATAAGAAGGCTAGCGGCGCAACTGCGAGTTAGTCTGCGTAGGAAAGGCGAAG